TAATGGCGACTTTTAAGAAGTATTTATGCGTGACTGCGAGAAGCAACAAAGCTACTTCTTTGTATATTCGAAATGTGCTATAATGAGGCCCGCTGGCTAAACAAACATTGTTACATGAAAGGTCATACCTGGGCTTTCATTTTCACAACTCAGTAGCATGTAAATGACTGCAATAAAGATGCTACAAAATGTTATGAAAATAAAACAACCATTCATTTTGAGAACTATAGTTTAAAAAATCTTGTAACTTGTTGGCGTGGTACTTTGTTCTACTTTGATAGATATGTTCGCTACAAGTGCATTTGTAATTACTTTGAATCTGTTAGCATAATAGACTCAAACACATTTAACCTTAGAGAACTTAGTCTGTTTACTTTATGTTGTAAAAGTCTACTTAAATTGTGTATCATCCATCTGTTTCTCCTGTTATCAACAGTGCACACAGTGCTATGGAGTTATATATAATGCAGGCGAGCCCTTTAGAGCAAATGCGATCTGAAAGGCTGGCAAAGGCGAGGGGACGCAGCTGTCGGCAAAGCATGTCTTTTTTAAGGGCTGCCCCTAATGATTGGAGACAGTTGGCAATTACATAAGCATTCACTTTTAGGCCACTGGGCTGTACACTGTGCTGAGCCCCCCGGACCCTGGCACACATGCAAAATGGGAAGAAGAAGGAGAGGAGGGGAGATGGGGGTGGGTGAACAAGAGCGGGAACAGAAGAGTGGGGGAGTTGGCGGAGAGCCAACAGGGAAGCGGCGATGCACGTGCCAACATAGAGAGAGCAACATATAGGCCTACAGATGGACAGAAAGAGAGGGGGATGCAGGAATGGAAGGAAGGAAATGGAGAGAAGTGAGCAAGAACAAAGGAAGCATAATCACAGATGAAAAGGCCACTGAGAAGAGGGTAAAATAAAAAGAAGTCTAAACATTGAAGCAGAATCAAACCAGGAGAAGCAAACTGCACGCTGCGACATGTCATGTTTTGTCACATTCAAGTAACACTTTAAAGTCAGCTGAAAAACTAACATTTCACAAGGTGGTAAAGAATTACAATTATTTCTTGGCAAATCATGTTCAAGAAACACGATTACCATAGTTAGGCTTCTTTCTTTTTTTCTAAAATGTTAAAATTAGAAGGTATGGATGTCAGCAGATGTTGCAGCAATTGCTATTCTTTAGCTATATTGAACATTTGATTAAGGTGTTGTATAACTATCACCTTGTTTCAACAACTATTCATTACATGTCAAAACACTTGCTGGGTAAAGTGGAGCAGAGAAGACAACCACTCAAAAGTTTTAAAAAAAAGAGGCAAATGCCGCATAAAGTTGAACTGCTACATTTTGACTCATGTGTAACATGGCGGTAAATGAAATATACAGTACACAAAACACACTTAATCATCCAATCGTGCAATGTTTAGAGCATTATTAGCAACTTGTCATCTATTACACTGTTTTTGTGTTTTCTTCTGAGCCAAGTGTGTGGTTGGCCTCACCACCTGTTTCTCGTTTAAACCTGTAAGGTTAACAGCTGCATCGGAAGAACCTTGCACACACACACACACACACACACACACACACACACACACAAACACACACACACACACACACACACATTGTATTATTCAGCGGGGAGTCTGCGACTATCCCAACAGTTTATATCAGAATCATATTTTATTCGCAGCAATGTGTCTTAAGTGTGGCAACAAATGCTGGGAGATTGTTTGGCGGCACCCAGTTTTCACCCACAATATTTTAATTGAAATCCCAGTTGGTCACAATTGCTTTTTAATGTGCCTGTTATTGATTTTGTTGATTTCTCACACACTCCGAACCATCGCTCACTTGTGTTGACATGTATTGCACATGCATATATGTGACCTGCTCTATCGAAATCAGTCACATTGACCCGAAGACACACTTTGAGTTGTACAGTATACATTGTTGGAAAGAGGAGATTAGCTTTCTAATGATATCAGGATTGTTTTTGTACTCCAAACATTAAAGGTCACATGTCATGCTTTTCCGGTTATTACCCGTCCCCTTGTGTGTTATGAAGGTTTTTCTGCATGTAAACGGTCTGCAGAGTCAAAACCCTCAAAGTACACCCTGTGGCGAGTAAAACTCTAAAACAGAAAATACCTCACAAAAATGCCTCGTTGGTGAAACGTCATCATGACGTCATCATCCATTTGATTCTTCCGGGTACGTGCATACGAAAGCACGTACCCGGAACTAAATGGGCCAATCCGTGGAGCCTTTACGTTACGTCCGCGGAGCCGTTACGTTAAGCCCCCGCTGATTGGTCCAAATTGAACAATCCACACACACACACACTCAGTGCAGGCAGCCCTGCTGATTTCTGCTCCCTGCTGCAGGCTGATAACAGACAGTTGGGATCGCGCAAAATTCTCTCTGCAGACCTATTCTCACAGCGTTTATCAACCTATTAGGTTGATAAACGCTGTGAGAATAGGTCTGCAGAGAGAATTTTGCGCGATCCCAACTGTCTGTTATCAGCCTGCAGCAGGGAGCAGAAATCAGCAGGGNTGTAGACCTGTACACACAGGTACCTGAACTCACCTGCACACTGTCTGTAGACCTGTACACACAGGTACCTGAACTCACCTGCACACTAGACCTTTATTAACTGAGAAGGTTCTTAATGTTCTGCAGACGATCTACAAGCAGAACGATATGGATAACTCGGGGACGATGAGCACTCCTGAGATGAGGGTCGCATTCAAAGATGCAGGTGAGGTTCCTCCTACTCCTCTTCCTCCTCTTCCTCCTCTTCTTATTCCTCCTCCTCCTCGTGCGTGTGTCTGTCTGTCTGTCTGTCTGTCTGTCTGTCTGTCTGTCTGTCTGTCTGTCTGTCTGTCTGTCTGCGTGCGTGCGTGCGTGCGTGTGTGTGTCTGTGTGTGTGTGTGTGTGTGTGTGTGTGTGTGTGTGTGTGTGTGTGTGTGTGTGTGTGTGTGTGTGTGTGTGTGTGTGTGTGTGTGTGTGTGTGTGTGTGTGTGTGTGTGTGTGTGTGTGTGTGTGTGTGTGTGTGTGTGTGTCTCTCACCAGGAAGCACATGAAGTCCAGAGCCAGCACAGT